AAAAATCAAGGTTCAGGTATGAAAGGGGAAGAAGACAAGGCATGTAGTTTTGAACCTATGAATTGGAAATGCTCATGGGCCATGTAAGTGGAAACTGTCAGGTGTTTGGAAATGTGATCCAGTGCTAATGAATGAAATTGGAAGCTTTGGGTATAAATTTTAGAATTTGCCTTAAAAAAAAATGGGAATGATTAGATCACTAAGGAAAATACTGTTTGAGGACAGTATATAAGATAACGTCCAGGGACAGAAAATTAACAGCTATCTACATTAGGGAAGAAAAGATGAGTGAAACCAGGAGAGCCAAGTATCATGAAAATGCAGGAGGAAAACTATATTAAGAAGGTGGCAGGCTTATGCCTGTAATCCCAACACTTTGGGAACCCGAGGTGGGAGAATTGCTTTAGACCAGGAATCTGAAGCTGAATGAGCTCTGATTGTACCACTGCACTCTATCCTTGGTGACACAGCGAGACTCTGCCTCTCAGTAAATAAATTTTAAAAAGAAGGTAGCAGTCATTGGTAGTATCAGATGAGGAAAAGAGGTCAAGTCAAATCAAAAAGGAGAAAAAGTGGTTAGATTTAGTAATGAGAAAGGGGACAGATTTAGTAATCATTGCAAGTGCAATGGCTCATGCCTATAATCCCAGCACTTTCAGAGGCCAAGGTAGAAGGATTGCTTAAACCCAGGAGTTCCAGGCTAGCCTGGGCAAGAGTGAGACCCCATGTCTACATATAAAAATAAAAATTAAATTTTAAAAAAAGAGAAGGAAGAGGACAAAAATTAGGCAGGAAATAACCAATGAGTGGGTGGTGAGGAAGTGAACACAGCCCTGCCTTGCCCTCCTCTCTTGAGAAATCTGATGGTGAGGGGATGGCAAAGGATGGAACAGTAGGCAAATGGGCAAAAAAATGTAAATGTGCAATCTGGAATTGGGAACTCTGTAGCCTTCCTTATGGGGCTAGCAGTGCCAACAGTTTTCAAGAGCTGAGCTACTAACACATTTGCAGGGAAAGAAGGAGCCAAGAGGATGAAAAAGACTGCAGGTACAAGACTCGACAATTGAGCAAGATCTGATATGGGAAAGAAACAACATCTAGCTTACAGTTTGATTTGGAGAGGAAAAGAGGCACTTCTCCTGACCTAGAAAGGGAGGAAAAGTTTAGAGGAAGGAGGATAAGGGTGTGACTAACAGCCTGTATTTTCAGAAAAGTAGGTGACCTAGTTGTCCCTCCTCAACAGAGAATTAACTATCACCTAGGTGAGGAGCCCCAAAAGCTAGACATTGGACTGACATAAACATGGCTATTTAAGTACTTATGGCAAATATTTTTTAAAAATATGTTATAACCTCAAGAGGTAGGTATTATTCCTTCCTCCCATTTAAAAAACTTATGCTTCCCTTAAGAGGATGTGAAACTTGCCCAGAGCAAACAAGCCTACATTTAAATCCAGATCTAACTGCATGATTTTAAAGTATATTACATCTTAAAAATAAAAATAAAAAAAAAAACAAAAGTATATTACATCTTACGGCAAGGAAATAGCAGAGGCCAACTGATGGGCTTACAGGTATGTGTAGCTCACCTCCAGCATTGATCTTTGTAAAAAAACAAATGAACAAAAAACATGGTTTGTGCTTTCTGGACTTTATAATTAAGACTACATACATACAGGAGTAAAATACTGGCAAGAAAGGAAACAGTAGAGAAAATACTTTTCAAATAAGAAATTGCCATTGCTTTAATTCTTTGGGTCTCTTATGATCTATTCTGTTACAGAGACAATTGTGGATACAATTCCCCTTGATCTATAAAACTTAGATTTGAAGAAAGGTTCAGATTGGATTTAGATTAGGCCCTGCTCAGTGAAAATTATAAAAAACACTGACATTACAGTAACTGATATGAAAGAATATAGTAAATCTTCACTTAACATTGTCAATAACTTCTTAGAAACTGTGGTTTTCAGTGAAACAATGTACAATGAAACCAATCTTTTTGTCATCAATATTATTTTTATTTTATTTTGTTTTGTTTTCAAAAGATGGGGTTTCACCATGTTGGGCAGGCTGGTCTTGAACTCCTGACCTCAGGTGATCCACCCACCTTGGCCTCCCAAAGTGCCAGGATTACAGGTGTGAGCCACCATGCCCAGCTGTCATCAATATTATAATGAAATGAAGACAACACTGAAATGTTTTTTGTGGACCTGCTCTAAGTTACTTGATCTAAAGCCACGGTTTCTAAGAATCTATTGTTAGTCTATAACCATGCTGCTATTCTTTATCCTGATATCTCATTTTTTTTTTTTTTTTTGAGACAGAATCTTGACCTGTTACTGAAGCTGGAGTGCAGAAGCAGGGGGCGTGATCTCAGCTCACTACAGCCCTGACCTCCCAGGTTCAGGCCATTCTCCTGCCTCAGTTTCCCAAGTAGCTGGAAATACAGACATCCACCACCACTCTCAGCTAATTTTTGTATTTTTAATTGAGACAGGGTTTCATCATGTTGGCCAGGCTGGTCTGGAACTCCTGACCTCAGGTGATCCACCCACCATGGCCTCCCAAAGTGCTGGGGTTACAGGCATGAGCCACCGTGCCTGGTCAAAATATTAAAAAAAAAATCTTTATAGTAGGTATAAGCATGAGAAACTGAAAAAAGTTTGTGACTTTTTTTTTGAGACAGAGTATTGCTCTATTGACAGGCTGGAGTGCAGTGGCGAAATCTCGGCTCACTGGAGCCTCCCTCTCCCAAGTTCAAGTGATTCTCCTGCCTTAGCCTCCCGAGCAGCTCGGATTACAAGCGCCTGCCACCACGCCTGGCTACGTTTTGTATTTTAGTAGAAATGGGGTTTTACCACGTTGGCCAGGGTGGCCGCGAATTCGAGCTCAGTGATCTGACTGCCTCGGCTTCCCAAAATGCTGGGATTACAGGCGTGAGCCACCGCACCTGGCATGCATTTTTAATCTTAAAAAAAAATAAAAATAACCTTTCCGTGTTGCTGAGTTTTTTGTTTAAGAGATGGGTCTCCTCCCATCTTGGTCTCCCAAAGTGTTGGGATTACATGCCTGAGCCAGCGCGCCTGGCCTGCGGAGCATTTCCAATCAAATTCTCGGATGAACTGCAAGAAATGATCCTTGGAAGCAGGTGAATTGTCTCAGGTCAAGCTTCTTTTGGAGGACTCAACCAGCTGTGACTGGCTGTGAAGATGGAGGAAAAGGGCCACTCGTCAAGGCATGTAGGCAGCTTTTAGAAGTTAGAAAAAGCATGCCTGTAGTCCCAGCTACTCGGGAGGCTGAGGCTGGAGAATCGCTTGAGCCCGGGAGGTGGAGGTTGCAGAGAGTCGAGATGACGCCACTGCAGTCCAGCCCGGAAAACAGGACAGAGTGAGACCTTATTACCCACCTCCACACAAAAAAAGACAGGCCATGTCTTTTACACTGGAATGAGAAACTTCAGAATTCTGCTTATGTCAAAAACGGGAGAGTGAACTTGCCAGGATTTTCTTCTAACCTCCGCCAGTATGCATCATAACCGGAAGTGTTTCGTTTGGCCACAATCCAGTTCGGGATTTTCTCACCCTACAGGGATTCTAGCATTTCACAAAGCAACCTTCCCTGCCTGCATTATGTTGACACACGCTTTTTTCTCAGCAACTTTTCAAGTAGTGCCCTTGGGGGCAGAAGTTTCCAAAGTGACACATTCTTAAGTACGCTAAGGTTGAGTTTAAGCTCCTTATTTTTCCAGAATGTAAGGAGGTTCCTTTTTAGGCTAAAAGCCCTTCCTTTTTGAATGCCTATTCCGCCTCACCACGGCTAGGGCAGATGACTGCTTTACAGGCCAGGCACGCTCGGCCTGGGAACGCCACCGCTTCCAGTTGGATGAAAACGCTCCTCCAGGCCGGGCGCGGTGGCTCACGCCTGTAATCCCAGCACTTTGGGAGGCCGAGGCGGGTGGATCACGAGGTCAAGAGATCGAGACCATCCTGGTCAACAAGGTGAAACCCCGTCTCTACTAAAGATACAAAAAATTAGCTAAGCATGGTGGCGCGTGCCTGTAATCCCGGCTATTCAGGAGGCTGAGGCAGGAGAATTGCCTGAACCCAGGAGGTGGAGGTTGCTGTGAGCCGAGATCGTGCCATTGCACTCCAGCCTGGGTAACAAGAGTGAAACTCCGTCTAAAAAAAAGAAAAAAAGAAAAAAAAGAAAGAAAAAAGAAAACGCTCCTCCATTATCCGCAAGGGCTTTGCTCGTTCCTCGCCTCGGTCTCATCTCTACGTGGACACTGCCACTGTCGCTCCTCAACACTGATGCATGGACAAGGTGGCGGGAGGCGACGGTCGGCTGGGACCCAGGGCTGCCCACTAGATGTTGTGCAGGGGCTCGCGCCCAGCGGGGGACCTGGGCCCCACGGCGGTGGGCCGGCCACGGCGTGGAGGTGGGGACGCTCCTGCAGGCCCGGGAGTCCGCAAAACGCGCTTCCAGCCGGGACAGAGGCGAGACGCTCACGGACCTTGGCTTGGGGTTGGCGGCTTTAGGAAGAAAGCAGCCTCGAGACCCTGAGTCCCCGGCGACGACCGTTAGCCTCACGGACAAGTCATTGGATTTCCGGCGCACGCGCGGCGTGGTGAGGGCAGCTTCCGGTTTCCAGCCTCGACCCGGCCCCTGCCTTCCGCCCCACCCCCAGACGAGTGCCTCCTCTTGGCCCCGCCCCCTGGCTTTTCTTCTCCCCACTCCTAGGCCTCGCCCCCTGACCCGCTCCTGCCCGCCGCCCCGCCCCCGTTCCATTGCATTGTTGGATTGTGGCGCCGCACTCCCGCTGGCGGCCGGCAGGGGGCGGAGTTCGAGCCTGGATTTTTCCGCGGGGCGTCCCTCGGGAGGCAGTCCCGGCGTGGGGGAGGGGGAGGCGGAGCGCGAGGACGCGGTTCCGTCGGCAGCGGCGTTACTTTTGGTCCGGGCTCGGTGAGGAGGCTGCGGCTGCCGCATCAGAGCTGACGTGGGGACGACGTGGGGCCGCCGCCAGCGCCGGATTGCTGGGCGGCGGCGCCGCAGCTGAGCGGCGGTCGGGCTCGGCGTCTCCACCTCCTCGCGTCCGTAATCAGTGACGAGGTCCGCTACGTAAATCCCTTCGCGGCGGGTAAGTGGCGCGCCGGCGGCGGCCCCGAGACCCAGCAGCGGGCGACGCGGCGCAGGAGGCGGAGGCAGGAGGCGGGCGGAGCCGGGGGTGGCGGGACGGGCCAGGGGCCGGGACCCCGGGGCCGGGCGGAGGGCAGCGGGGCAGCCGCGAGTTCCCCTGACGCGGCCCCTCGCCAGGCGCCTGTGAGGCCGTCGCCTTCCCGGCCCACGCCCGCGTCGGCCTCTCCGCCGTCCCGACACCCGCCTGCCTCCTCGCGAACTTGGGACGAGTTGGAAAATCGTCCCTGAGCGAGCCCTGAGGTTCAGGGGAGCGGTTTAACTAGGAAAAGGAAGTCAGAAGTAAGGACTTCGGGGTTCCAGTGCCCGCGGCGCCTCTGCCCCACTTCGCGAGCGCAGTTGAGATGTGAGCGGACGCAGCCGGTTTTCCGCGAAACCCCGGCCCGAGGGCCTCGCAGTTAGTCATTCGGTCCCGGGCGCGGGCGGTCCCAGGAGATGGGCAGGGCAGCGTCGCGACCGCTCTCAGAAGGCGCAGTTTCCCTTCTGCCTCAGAGTCTTGCCTTTTTAGGGCCATCTCGTGAGGTTCCCAGAGCCTGCTGAATTTGGGGAATAAACACATTATTTAACATGCTTCTTGATCCTGTTGCGTCTTATTTGTGTATTAGATATCTGAGTTTGAAATCTCTTAGGGGTTTCGTGCACGCCGCTCAGCGAAGCAGCTGTCAGTTTGTAATCAGATTTTAAGAATTTGTGACTTACAGTGCCAGTCTCAGTGTCACGGAAACTGAAAAGAGCTCTTTTAACAGTGTGGCTTACCTACGTGACGAAGTTTCTTTTTCTGCTTAATTTGCCGGGCAGATGAGAGTGCACCTTTCCGTTGGAACGAAAACCTAGATGCACAGTGAGAGTTCCGCTATGAGCATTGTATGAGATCACATTAATTATCCACGCTGTTTTTTTTGCTTTGTTTTGCTTTGAGCACCACGTTTTTTTCCTAGTCTCGATTCTCTTGGTGGATAACAAACTTTCCTTTCCTAAGTCTTAAAAGTCTTTGAGTCTAAAGTAATTTTTTTCCTAAAGGAAGGCAAATTGCACACAATACGTTTTGGCCAGTAAATGCTAAGTATTAAAACTGATGTTTAAAGAACTATGTATTGATCCCAACACAGCTTTATAAAATATAATGGTTTTGATCCTGAATGAGTAAACACTTAAAGCATTGTCAATATTCACACAACTTTGGCGAATCTGTAAATAGATCAATATAACACATACTTTCCCAGTGACTTGGTGATGGATATGGAGTCATTTTGGTGAGTGTTGTAATTACAGTGATGTTTTGTGTATATATTTTGGTGACAGTGTATGAATAAATTTTTACTGAATGCATAGATGCAGAGAACATTTTTAGTCTGTTTTTGCGTTGTCCCTGAAAGTTAATGAAATTTGCTTTTACCGATGAATTTTAACAAACTTTGGAATCTATAGGCTATAGTCCAGTTTCCTACGCAGGTGAGTTACTGCCTAATCAAAATACAAAATCTTTTTTAGGGTTATGACCATTTCATGAAAAGTAGGAAAGAGTTTCGTTTATTAGCATACATCAGGAATCCTGACTGAAGGTTTACCAATGTAGACATATATTTCTGATCATTTTCCTAAGTTGTATTCCCTGAAAACTAAGTATTGGGCCAGAAGATTTAGCTAGGTTTATTGTTGAAGTGGATAGTCCTACTGAAAAGCTCTCAAATGTCCGGTTTTTTTTAGACAGACTTCTTAAAACTGAACAGTGCAAACACTTAATAGTTGAGCCATTGAGAGACTTTTTTTTAAGAGCAGTTTTAGAACCATTGATATTTTTATATTTCCTTATCAGCATTGGTTGATAAGGACCAGGCGCTCCCGCCTGTAATCCCAGCAAATTACTGGGATTGAAATCACTTAGGGGTTTCCTTCAGGCTGCTCAGCGAAGCAGCTGTCAGTTTGTAATCAGATTTTAAGAAATTGTGACGTACAGTGCCGGTCTCAAAGTGTCACGAAACTGAAAAGAGCCCCTTTAACAGTGTGGCTTACCTACGTGACTACGTTACCTTTTCTACTTAATTTGCCTGGCAGATGAGGCCCAGGCGGGCGGATCACTGGGTCAGGAGGTCGAGACCATCCTGGCCAACATGGTGAAACCCTGTCTCTACTTAAAAAAAAAAAAAAAATTAGCCTGGGGGTGGTGGCCTGCGCCTTTAGTCCCAGCTACTTATGAGGCTGAGGCAGGAGAATTGCTGGAACCCGGGAGGTGGAGGCTGTAGGGAAGAGATCAAGCCACTGCACTCCAGCGTGGAGGACAGAGCGAGGCTCCGTCTCAAAAAAAGAAAACAAAAAACATTGGTTGATAAGGAAATAAGCCTGAAATGTTGGAATTTTATTGTTTCTACCTCATTTAACTGATGGATTCTATACGTAAAAGTCAGCTTTGAAAAAAGAATTACTGTACATTGAACACAGTTTTGGTATTATCAACACAGGAACTTAAATACAGATTTAGGAAAAATGAATCTCATTACCTAATAGGTAGAAATGAACATTTTAAATAATTATGTTAATAATCTCCTTTTAGAGAATACATTTTAAACACCGTTTGCAATGGGAACTCCACAATAAAGACTGTGCTGCTCTTAAGAACAAATGCTTTTACTTATAGGTTTTCATTTTTTGACATTCTATATCCGGTAGAGAATAAGCAAGAACAAGGAAGAAAACCTAAGGATATCATTAGTGGAAATTTTTCTTGATATTATGAAAATGCCTTAAGTCTTATTGCACTGAATAATGACGTTTTGGTCAATGATGGACTGCATGTATGTCACATAAGATTATAATGGAGCTGAAGAATTCCTGTCACATAGTGATGTCCTAGCTGTCCTAATATCCTAGGGCAGCGTATTACCTTTCTGTGTTTAGGTGTGTTTAGACACTCAAATGCTTTCTACTGTGTTCTAATCACCTACAGTATATAATACGGTAACATGTTTTAAGGGTTTGTAACCTAGGAGAAACAAGCTATCATTTGTTTAATAGCACTTTATAACGTTGGCAGAATGAAGTTGCCTAACATTTCTAAGAATGTATCCTCACTATTAAGTGAAGCATAATGGTAATTCAGTTATAGCAAGATTTACAAAGAAAATGATGTCTATTTGCACATTTCATGACAGGCCTTCCTAGGAGTGATAGAGGAAATTACTGGCAATATGTATGTGAAACAGTTGTTATAAGTAGAGGAAATGCATAGACTATAAAATTATCTGGTAGGTTTGCTTAAAGACTGATTAAATAACTATCTCATTGGTCAGGAAGGATGCTTACCTCTCAGAAACCCTTACTAGCAACTCATCCTCTTGTCAGGCTTCTTTTTTTTTTTCGTTGAAGCCTCAGTTCTCCACAAATGGGAAGCATCTTTGTGCATGTTTTCTAAACAGTAGTATAACCATGCCAATTAAATGTCAAGGTACTAATAAAATCCTGTGAACTTTTAAGAGTGGAGCCAATGTGATGCTAATATTTTCCTTGAGAATTTCACAAAATAAACTCAATTTCTTCAAAGTTATCTTGATAAAGTTTTTTTTTAACATAGCAGACTTAAATAATCTAACTTAGAATAGCAAAATAGCAGATAGTTTATATTCTTAACCTCAATCTTTTTCATTGATAGCACAAAAATGATTTTTTTTTGGCTTAGAAATGTTTTTAACTGGAATGTGTATCTTTGCACTGATTATGGTGGAAGTGTTTACCTTTGGAATTATGGCAACTATATTATACATAAAGACTGACGTTACTGAATGTGGATGCTTGAAATGTTTTTACTCTTAAAATTTATGGAGGAGTTAAATTAGGCATGTTTCTACACTTAGAAAGATAGAGGTTTTGTTCAGATGAGTAAGACAGTACAAATCTGTGTAAGCAAAATAATGGTAAAATTCTTTTCTCTGATCTTAAGCTAATTCAGGTAGTTTACTCTTTCTGATTTACTCTCTAGTAGTTAATGCATTTATCCTTAATATGTAGATAAGTGTTTTTGAAATGTACTTAATGTGCAGTAAAGAGCAGGCTGTTGAAAAGAAAAACCTTACAGTGAGCCTAGTCAAGCAAGTAACTCCCCCAAAAGTTTTAAAATTTGGTTTCCCATCAAGTGGTGGTAGTGGGGGAGGGAGGTATTTGAAAGGATGGAGATAGGCCATGATATTTGAATTTTATTTTTAATTTCCTCCTCAGCTGCTGATTTTGTAGTTCATTGACTCTGAAATAGCCAAAAGCAGGCAGCAGGTGGGAAATGAATTGAAAAAGAGACAGTTATTGAATAGTTAATCCTTTAGTGATTTAGTAAAGAGTTAAGATTTCTTAATAACTTGTATCTCAAGCAATTAAATTGGAGTAGCCTTGAATCCATTTGAGAGAGCCTCCTGAATTTATGTATAATTCATGTTTGAAATATTAAAGACATTTACAAGTGTTTGGAATATTTATTTATGACTATCGCGCTTGGCTATTTTGTTTTTACATGAAAGTGTAATGATTGTGTTTTGAAAGATACTGTAACTTTGCTTCACAAACAGCATAAGACTAATGGTGTAATTTCATGGTGCTGCTTTCTCACTTTGTTTTTCCTGTATGCATCTCCTTCCTCTAAAATGCATAACCATAGCCTCATCACTGTCAATTTCAGCTGCAGGGCTGTTTAGAATTATTTCTCTCTTATAAATAGCCCCACCTTCTCCCAATTTTTTAATCAACTTGGTTGAGAAGGACCAATGTTACAATATGAGCTTCATTTTCTTTCAAACTTTGCTATTGCTACTTAAATGACAGTTAACCTATGGATATCTACTTTTGCAAAGAACTAAAACCATGCTTCATGACAACCAAAGAAACAGATTATCTTTCTTTGTGTTCTCTTTCTCTTCCTGCTCTTGTAAAAGGTGTGATGCCTTTTATTCCACATTCTTTTTCTTTTGAGTATGCTATTGCAATGCTTTCAGTTTTTCTTCTTTTTCTTTCTTTTAGCCTTTCAGAAACCATCTCCATAATGCGTAATTTTCAGTTTACATTTTTGGGTTTTTGAAAGTGGAGTAAGAACTTAGATTGTTCGGCAAGTGTCTTACAAAGAATTATTAATATTTTCAGTATTTCATAGTTATCTCCAATTGTAATATCTAGTCCAAAAGCAGATATTTTTTTTTTTGAGACAGAGTCTCACTCTGTTGCCCAGGCTGGAGTGCAATGGTATGATCTCATCTTACTGCAACTTCCGCCTCCTGGGTTCAAATGATTCATGATTCTCCTGCTCAGCCTCCCGAATAGCTGGCATTACAGGTGCTGGCCACCGTGTCTGGCTCATTTTTGTATTTTTTGCGGAGATGGTGTTTCACCATGTTGGCCAGGCTGGTTTCCAGCTCGTGACCTCATGTGATCCACCCACCTTGGCTGCCCAAAGTGCTGGGATTACAGGTGTGAGCCACGGCGCCCAGCCAAAAGCAGATTTTTTTAATCGGGGGGAAAAAGCAAAACTGTCCTTATTGTCTTTCCAAAGTGTTCAACTTAGTTTTCAGAGAAACACTTCTCTTTTTGAATCATTTAATCTACTTAGTCATTTTATCTAATATACTATTTAACAAAATTACAAAATTGCAACAAGGCTGGCATAATGAGGTTTGGTGGCAAACAGCTAACTCTTGGTAAGCTCCCATTAGTGTGAGGGTGTGGCATCTAATGGGTTATACAATTTTTAAGGAGCGTAAGATGTCCCTGTGTAAAATGCTAGTGTAGTATAACAGAATCAAGTGGCATCAGTGCTGCTTTTTGTTCTTGTTGTGAGGAGCTGTTTCAGTGCCCTACTGTCTCTTGTCCCTATGCTTGGGGCAGATGGTCGCAGTAGTAACAATTGCCTTAGTGCCCTTAGTGTGAGGTGTGATAAACCTGCCTGTTGTCTGCAGTTCCACAATTGACTGGGATTGTATGACATCATTTTAGAGGGTCCTTAGGAGGGAACTCTGAAAGCAGCGTGTCTGTCTAAGCACCGCTGTTGCTGGCAGAGGCACCTAGAGGTTACTTAAGGAAGAGCAGGATTGTTTTCTCCAGCTGTAAAATAAATTAAGGACTCTCAGATTTTTTTTTTTTTTTTGAGACTATGTCTCAAAAGAGTTTAGGTCTGTGAATGAATGGTCTTGCTCTGTCACCTAGGCTGGAATCCACTGGTGCAAATCTGGCCCAGCAGCCTCAGCCTTCCTGGCTAAAGTGATTCTCTCTCCTCAGCATTTTAAGTAGCTGGAACTACAGGCCTGTACCACCATACCTGGTTAGTTTTTTTGTAGAGACAAAGTCTCTCTATGTTGTCCAGGCTTGTCTCGAACTTCTGAGTTGAAGCAAACCTGCTGCCTCAGCCTCCCACAGTGCCAGGATTACAGGTGTGAGCCACCAGCTCTGCCTCAAATGTTCTTTTGTCTTTTTCTTTGCCAGTTTTACTTCATTCCACATGTCAAATAGATATTTTTAAACATATTAGTAAAAAATAAAGGATGTTTAATTGCTACAGTGTCTAACCTAGGATTTTTATGGATTGAAGACTATCAGAAGGATGTTTTGAATAAACTTACTTTGGAGTTTAATTTTTTGACAAAAACTCAAGTTGAAATTTAAGGAAATAATAAATTCATTAAGTTTATTAAATGATCATTACTTCTTAAAAATAGAGCTGATACATATAAGCGATACTTAGTATTAGATGATTTAGACAGCACTGCTTTCTCTTCAGTAGAAAATAATCAGAAAAATAGTGCATCATTTAAGTTTTGTCAATTTTTTTCCCTAGGGAGATAAGAAAAATACGGTAGAAGTAAGATTGACAAAAAGCAGTACAGAGCTGTTTTCAGCTTTCTAGTATTTTTTTGCGGGGGGAGGGGTGCAGTTTGTATTTTTAGTTTTATAGAAATTAGAATATTCTTCCTGGCCTCGTTTTGAGAGGTAAATTTTAATTTAAGTAAAATTTAATTTGAGAGTTTATTGAAGTAAAATGTTATGATCTCCCAATTCAACATTGTAATTTTACTGCAGGATAAATAAAGAAAACGGGGAAGGAGGAAAGCATTGATTACAAATGTCTTAACAATGAGCAAATGTGCAAAGAAAAAATATATTAAGACAAATCTAAGGTAGGTAGATGTACGTTTTTCTGTTCTTTTGAAAATTCTACTTAGCTTAAAGATGAATAAATTGATACATAGATGTACACATATATGCATGTATGTATTTATATTATATAGTCAAATTATTCAGCCGTTCACTTAAGGCACCGTCTACCTGTGAACCATGTTAGGCACTGCATGGAATGTGTGGGTATTTACAGTTGGCTTATGCTAAGTACTAGTCTTTTCAGTTAGAAAGTAGACCATATATGAGGATGTCCATAATTCAGTGGAATTGTAGAACTCAAAAAGTCTCCAGGGTTTTATTCTTCCTCCTGGCCTTTTGGCTATATTCGTGCCTAACGTTGTAAAACAGAAGAAAGTCTCTACCAACATTTTACAGATATCCAAATAGAATTTTTCAAGTTTTCTTTTGATTACTTTCAGAGACATTCTGTTTCATCAGTTGGATGTACTGCTAAAGAGAAAATTTATTTTCTAAGGTACTTTTTGTAAAGTTACTTAAAAGAATAGAAACAACTTTAATAACTTTTTTTTCCCAATTGGATTCTATTTTTAGAAGAGGTGAAACAATTTTTCAAGGGTAATACAGTTGCTCTGCAGTATAATTTGTCTTAGAAAATTGGATACAACTAAAATTTTAGATTTTTTTTTTTTTTTTTTGAGAAAGAGTCTCACTCTGTTACCCAGACTGGAGTGCAGTGGCATGATCACAGCTCACTGTAACCTCTGCCTCCCAGGTTCAAGGGATTCTCCTGCCTCAGCCACCCAAGTAGCTGGGATTACAGGTGTGTGTCACTATGCCCAGCTAATTTTTTGTATTGTGTATTAAAACAATTTTTTATAAAAAAAATTATTTTTAGGCTGGGTGTGGTGGCTCAAGCCTGTATGTAATTCCAGCACTTTGGGAGGCCAAAGTGGGAGAATTGCTTGAGGCCAGGTGTTAAAGACCAGCCTGGGGAAAAGAAAAAAAGACAAGAGAAGAGAAAACCAGCCTGGGCAATACAGCAAGATCCCATCTCTCAGGAAAAAAAAAAATTGTTTTTAATGGAGGGTCCCATTTAAAAAAAAACAACACAGTGGCTAGATTAATATTTTATTAATTTGGATCCCAATATATTCACAACAGGTTGGGCTAATATTTGCTTTTATATCAAAGGAGAGAAATGTTTGATAAATAGCATAATGGAGATTTCAGAAAAACATTTAACTTCAAAAGAAAATAGTGTTGCTGCTATTATTAGTTGTTCGTAAGTTTAAATATCCCCATTTTAGCAAAAAAAAATTTTTTTCCAGACACAGTTTCATGCTGTTGCCCAGGCTGGAGTGCAGTGGCACAATCTTGGCTCTCTGCAACCTCTATCTCGCAGGTTCGAACGATTTTTGTGCTTCAGCCTCTTGAGTAGCTGGGATTATAGGCGTGTGCTACCATGCCTGGCTAATTTTTGTATTATTAGTAAAGACAGAGTTTTACCATGTTGACCAGGCTGGTCTCTGAACTCCTGACCTCAGGTGATTCACCCACCTAGGCCTTCCAAAATACTGGGATTACAGGGATGAGTCACCATGCCCAGCCCCCATTTTAGCAAATTTTTACCTGTTTTTTTTAGAATTGTGGAACCAAATAGTTGCCAGTATTTTGCTTGTTGTTAATTTATAGTGCTTAGTGGACTTTTTTGTTTTAGTTTTTATTGTTTTATCCTTGCTTGTTTTTATTTTTAAATATTCTGTAATCCATAATTGCCAGTTGGTTCTTATCTCTCTTAAAAAGGATTATTGTTTAAGATTTAAAAAAATACTATGTAGTTAATTAAAGACTATTAGTTTTAGCACAACTATGTTTAATATAGAAAATGAGATTTGGGGAAATAGGTTCTATGAAACCTCTCTTCATTTTTTAACATATTTAGCTATAGATTATATAGTGAATAATGTAAGATTATAATGGAGTCTATAAATTCTATCTGGAGCAGCTGTGGCTGATTTATAGATGTTAATGTTGTATACGTCATTTACAGCTTAGTTTGGGGTCCTGCATTTTCTGTTGAGATAGTGCTTGAAAAATGCCTGGTACAGTGCTTGACCCATGTTGAGCACTGAAATGTTGGTTGAATCTTCTGCACTGCATAGAATCCTGCATAGGAGTTGGGTTTTAGTGGGCTTAGGAGGTTGTACTGGAAAGCAGTTGGATATAGATCTGCAGAATTATCTGGCTTGAAAATGATAGCATCTCTATTTTAAGTTGCTAGTGTTAACCTTACTTTTTTGTAGATGATTTTTACCCCCAAAAAAAATAATAATTTTGGTATCAAACTTTTACTGAATGGCATGAACTGAACACCGTGCTAGGTGCTCTAGCAGAATATAAGTGGAATAAAATTACAGTCCCTAAGTTTGGTGTGAAAGAGAAAGAGTATGTGAGTGAGATGTGACAACCATTGCAGCATACTCCAAATGATGATACATCGCCGTTAAATGTTGCCCAAACTGGAATATGCAGGGTACTGGCTGTGGAAGGGACCCTGGAGTCATAGTCACAAGACCTCTTTTTCATCCCTCGTGATGCTACCTATTATGTTGCCTGTAAAAGTCCCCTAATCTCTCTGAACTTTTTTTTTTTTTTTTGAGACTGAGTTTCGCTCTTGTTGCCCAGGCTGGAATGCAGTGGCACAATCTCCGCTCACCACAACCTCTGCCTCCTGGGTTCGAGCAATTCTCCTATCTCAGCCTCCTCAGTAGCTGGGATTACAGGCATGCACCACCACACCAGGCTAATTTTGTATTTTTAGTAGAGTAGGAGTTTCCATGTTGGTTAGGCTGGTCTCAAACTTCTGACCTCAGGTGATCTGCCCAACTCAGCCTCCCAAAGTGCTGGGATTACAGGCATGAACCGCCGCGCCCAGCTCTGAATGTTATTTTTATCATAATAACGTCTGACAGTCGCACAGTCTCCCAGAATAACTGAATAATTGGTTTATTTAGCATATACTGTACTAGGTACTGGGAATGCATGGGAATATATAAGATGTGATCCCTGTCCCTGAGTTGCTCATGCTGTTGTGTGACTACATGTATTATATGCTAGACAAGTGTTATAACAGACTTGTAAAATGCTTTGGAAACTCAAAAGAGAGAATTCTGCCCATGGCTATCAGAATAGACTTTTGAAAGATGGTGTCCTGAACCAGGCCTTGACAAGCTAGTTAGAATTTGCCAGTTGGACAAAGAAGGGGTAAAGGGCATTTCAGGAAGAGGGGAGAATAGATGTAAAAGATTAAAACTGGGAGAGTAAGATACGTACTTGGACAAATGGCTGGCATGCAGCATGTTGGAAAGAGTAGAGGGACTGGAGATTAGGCTGTAGAACTAAAATGGGTCCCATTGTGAAAGAGATTGAATGACAGTGTGGTTTGGTAATGGAGAATGTGGACTTAGGAAAAAGATCTTGGTTCAAAACCTGACTATGCCACTTAATACCTTTGTGGTAAGATCAAATTCTTTACCTCCCTGAGTCTCCTTTTCCTTATTTCTAAAAGAAGAACTAATCATTTTTTTATTTTCTCAGACAGTTGCACTCTGTTGCCCAGGCTTGAAGAACACCTGATTATAGTGACCTTATAGTGTTGTTAACCAAAACTGCTAGGTATTTACCACATGGTAAATGCTCAATAAATGGTGGTTATGGTTATGAGAATTAGAAGTTTGGATTTTATCCTGTAGTCAACAGGGAGCTACTGAAGCGTTTTAGGCAAATAAGTGTTTCAAGCAGAAATACATGTTTTAGAAACATAACTGTTGGCATGGATTGGAGCCAGGAGATAGAGTGGTGGCCGAGGAAATGCAGAGAAGACTTAATTGTTCTTTAGAAGGTAGAGCCGTCATACCTAGTGATGATGCTGTATGGAATGACAGAGAGGGAGTTTCTGGCTTGAACAGTTGGTTGGATGGCGGGGTCCTAGTTCCCAAGACAGGAAACTCAGAAGGGTAGAACATTTGTGGAGGAAGAAGAGGAGTTTAGTTCTGGATCCATTGATTTTGAGGTTCTTGCAGGACATGTGTTTGGAGATGTTAAACAAGTATTTGGATATTGGATTTTGGAATTCAGGAGAGACGTCAGGCCTAGAGTCGTGGGCTTAAATCTAGGCTGAAGGTCACTATTGAGGAAGGGAAGGAATTGGCAAAGGAACTTGTGGAGGAATTGTCAGCAAATTGGATGAGAACAGGAAACTGTAGTATTCAGGACACTGAGATGGAGTTCAAGAAGGAAGATGTTGTCAACAGTTTGAACGCTGCTGAGAGATAAAACAAAAGATAAAACTTAAAACGTACATTGGATTTAGTGACGAGATTAGTTACCATTTCTAGAGATCTTTTAGAGGCAGAAACCTCTCTAAACTTGGGGGTGTCCAGGAATATGTGGGATGTGAAGTAATGGAAATAGTGTTGGCAGTTCTTTCAAGTAGTTTAGCAATGAGAAGGAGAAGAGAGGTTTGAGGGAATAACTTGAGAGATTTCTGATCCAGTGGATTTGTGGCTATGTCTGTAAGTTGTGAGATGGGTGAGACATGAAGGTTTTTAAGACTTCATGGGAAAAAAGTGTTAGAGAGGAGAAAGAATAATTGATAGTATAATCCCCCGAAAGGGCATGGACTCCAAACAACAGATACAGGAATTTTAAGAGTGGGAGGAGGCCGGAGACACGGGAACATAGTGAGTGTAGATGTCAGTGGCTTTGTTGATTTGGTGGTGGGAAGTTGAGGGAGTTCTCATTAGACAGGAGGCAAGGGCTTTCATTGGGTGTAGTCAGCATGGAAACGCAGGGATTGAGAAGAGGGAGAATATTTGAAATTGTTGTGGAGAATGGGAGAGTAAGCCAAATAGGGAAACTCCATCAGTTTGCTGCCCATTTGAGGTTAAAAACCATGAATTCAATAGCTGTATTTTATTTTTTTTAGAAATGGGGTCTTGCTCTGTTGCCCAGGCTGGAGTGCAGTGAAGTGGCATGA